GGCCCCCATTGGGGGCAACGCCCCACCTGTTGTTTCCCGTCCGGACAGCAGGAGCTCCCAACCCCCATGGGATCAGCTGATGCTTCTTGGTGGCTCTTAGAATGTATATAAAAGCTGACCCTGAACATACCAGGAAACTATCTCCCAGAAGCCTGATCTCTGGATCTGATCAACAGTTCTCTAAAAGGTGAGCCCAAGGCTGAACCACTGAGGCAACACTGAACACAGAACACAGGGAACACTCACTCCTCCTGGGCAGTGAAGATGTCGAAGCACCCGTTGGCCAGCATCTGGTCCAGCGTCTTGAGCAGCGGCACGGACACCCTGCGGGGAAGGCAAGTGTGAGACACCAGGCGTCAGAACAGTGGAGGGGCAGACCGGCGTACTCAGGAAACAGTGCTGCTGACACGCAGGCCCTCCCTGCACGGCCAGCATCTCAACCCCAACCAACATCCTGGCAGGACGTGCAGAAACAACAAGCCAGTTCTAAGGCTAATGTGCAAACACCAAGGATGAAGGCAAGCCCACACAGCTATAGGAAGAACTCACGGACCTGGAGAGCTAGCACAGCTTCATTTACATAATCGTGGCAGAGCTCAAGTGATCAAAACCGTGTGATCCTGGTGTGAAGACAAGCAAATACGTCCAGGAACAGAAAAGTCCCAAGGTGGGCTGCACACCCACCATTTCTGAGAATGATGCAAAAGCAACGCAGTGGGAAGGGCAGTCTTTCCCACACGTGGAGCACCAGGGCGTCCACAGGCAAAACTGGGACACAGACACCAACCCCACACAGACCCGAGGTCTGAACGGAACACTCAAACTACGAAATGTCTAGGAGAAAACGTAAGAGACAGTCGTGTAGCCTTGATTCAGGCAGAAGTTTCTTAGATATGATGACAAAAAAAAACACAATTCATAAAGGAACAAGGATACAAACAAGTTGATCAAACTGTAAAATGTTTGTCCTTAACAGAGAGACTGTCAGGAGTGTGGAAGACAAAGCTAGAGACTGGGGAAACGTGCAAATCACATCTCACAGAGGACTCGTCCAACGTGTGTAAGAAAACCTCAAACTCCAGCGGCAGGTTAAAAACAAGCACCCAGTAAAAGAAAAAAAAAGGTCAGAAGATCCGATAGACACCTGACCAAAGATGCTCTGCAGACAGCCAACGAGTGCCCAAGAAGAGGCCCAGCACCCTGAGTCAGCAGGGAAGGCAAATCACAGCCACAGCGAGACACCACACCCCGTCAGATCAGCTGAAGTGAAAGGACCAACCAGGCCAGCTATGGTGAAGATGTGGGCACCCAGATTTCTGAGTGACAGAAAGCAGATGAGTGGCTGTCTTGGGCCTGGGGGGCCACAAGGGGTGGGGGCAGGGGCTCAGGAGGCAAACTGTGGGTGACAGATGTGCTTGGTTGTTTCATGGTTGTTGACATGAGTCAAAACTCAGACTGCACTCTTTATGTGCCTCTCATTAGGTATCATCTACGCCTCCAGAGAGCTGCTCCCGGAAAGAGCAGAGCGCCCCGGGTCGAGTTCCTGTTTGCTGAGACTGTATGGCTCCCCAAGAACATGGCCTGTGTGAGGGGTGTGCAGTCCAGCCACAGTGACTGCTGCCCGGCCGCCCTGGGCCAGCCGAGCACCGAGTCCAGGAACAGCCCTCTCAGAAGGTGCACGAAACATCCCCAAGTCTGCAGTCAGGGCTTTGGGGTCTACACTCCATCTTCTTGGAAAAGCAGTTAACAAAATGCTACAGCAAAAACGATGAGAAGACCGGTCGCTTTCCAATTCTGGTGGTCACGGTTGTGTGAGCCACATGTTGGAACAATGGCAACGATGTGTATGCAGGTACAACCAGGAAGCACCACAGGCCAGAGCCTGACAAACTCTCCTGGGCTCACAGCCTCTGGCATTTTACTTCCAACATACACAGCCGGCTCAGAGTGCAGGCTGTGAGGGGCCTGGGAGCTGACGGCCAGACCCGGGGACGCGTGCTTGGGTCATGCCCTTGCTGGGCTGTGCCCACCTTACCTCCCCACAAAATCCTGCTGGGCAGTGAGACCCTGGGGGTCTGAGAAATCACTGTGAGAGCACCAGTGCTCACCTGTCGTTCAGAAGGTTATCCTCAAAGACCTGCAGAAGCGTCCCGCCGAAGTCCTCCAGGGCTGCCGGGTCGTTCTGAATCTCCTTCATGTACTCAAAGAGGCCCTGTGTTGAGTACCTAACCTGCAACACAGAGAAGTGCTCTCATAAGAGGCACAAGACCAGGCTGCTCCCAGCTCCCCCTCCCCCGGGCTGCCTGTGTGACAGACTTGAAACATCTGCTACCCAGCATGGGGATCCGGCAGAGGCTGTCCAGGCCAGGCATGAGGAGCCCATCATGGGCGTGCAGACACCCCATCAGGGAAATAGTTCTGGAGGCAACCCAAGCCCTCACACAGTGTCACTAAATTTGTAAGAAGCACCACTTAGATGCCTGGCATCTGGGCGACCACTGCTGCTGGGGAGCAAAAGCGAAGGCACCTCCCCTCAGGATAACACCAAACCCCATCACACAACCAACACCCAACAGGTGAGTCGTCAGGGAAGAGTCGGCAGAGCAAGAGAGCAGATGCAGGCCTCCCTCCGACAGCAGACTCCGGGCTAAGAAACAGAACGCAGGACAGGGGGCAATGAGCATTAAAGAAAAACGCAAGCATGAGATGAATGTGCAAGGACAACGCACGAGAAACACTGCAGATCAAACTGAACGTTTGGTAATATACAATTACTGAAACACCAAACACTCAAGTGTTTGAGCAAGCTCCAGCAGACAGTGAAGGACAGGGGAGCCTGGCGTGCTGCAGTCCTTGGGGGTCGCAAAGAGTCAGACACAACTGAGGACGGAAAAACAACGACAAAATATTCACCAGTGGGAGGGAACAAGCAGGCTACAGAAAGCTGCAGAAAGCGGAGCAACTTCAGAGAAGCAGGCAGGCTGCGAGGATGGACAGCGAGCAGGAAGGCGGGCAGACAACCTTCCAGAGTGACGAAAACCACGAATCCACTCAATCTGGGCCAAGGGATGGATGAGAGGTGGGGGGGGGTCCCCACACGGGGGCGACAACAGAACAGAATGAACCACCAACAACACACACAAGCAGGGAACAGGAACCTGGAGAGACCGACTGGGGAACTGCGGGGCCCTCACGGTGCAGGGGAGTGAATCCAGACCCGAACAAAAGCCAGGGAGCCGGGCTGCCAAGCTCCTGCCTCATGTGCTGTCAGGTCAGGGGAACACCACCCCCCCACCCCCAGCAGAGGGTCCTGAAGGAAGGAGGCAGCACTCCCTCACGGGGACGCCCACCCAGGCGCCTGCTCACCGTGGACTCGGTCAGGCCGCCCACAGACACGGCCAGCCCCAGCAGCACGTGGTAGCGGTAGGCAGGCAGCCCCAGGAGGCGGGCCATGCGCGGGAAGGCCTGGGAGGGCGCGCCCCAGTTCACGGAGGCCACGGCGGCCCTGCAAGACAGGGGCATGAGCTGGATGGGCTGCCCCACGGGGAACAGGGCGGTCCCCCCGCCCCCGGAGCTGGGCCCCGCACCTGGGGAAGAGCCTCTCCAGCTCTGGCCGGGCAGGCACATGGGGGACGGCAGGGCTGTCTGCGTGGAGCAATGCCAGGAACACACGGGCTGCGTGCGCACGGAACCGGTCGATCTTCTCGCTAGCCTGCTGGGCTAAGCAGCACATGAGCCGCTGGCAGCTGCAGACCAGAGTGCAGGCTTAGCTCGTCTGGAGCCCGAGAGCGGGCACCTGGGCCACCCCAGCGGCGGGTGGGACGGGACCTGACAGCTCTGAAGCCCGTGTAGGAGGTCAAGCAGTGAGCCTGACATGACTATGGGCTCACAGCAGGGGAAGAAATGGAGGAAGGGGCATCTGCAGCCAGAGGAACTGGACCGGGGGGCTGCCGAGGAAGCCAGCCCAGGTCTCCTCAGGGGCCTCAACAACAAGAGCAATGGAGGGGGCATGGTGACCCCAGGCCAACAAGGTGCCCAGAGGTAGCCCAGGGGAACCGACTGAGGACAGGATGGCCAGTCCCCAGTGGCAGCAGGCGCAGGGGCCCTGAGGTCAGGAGCTGGCTGTCCTCCAACAGGCCTGAACCCCAGGAGAGGCCGAGCCAGGGGCAGGGGCCCTGGTGTCGGGAGGGAGGGCCCGGGCTGCCCCTCTCCCCACACGGGGAGAACAGACTCACAGGGGGGCCTCGATCAGCTCTGGCTGGTTCCGACCCAGCAGGAGAGTCAGGTCCATCAGGCTGGTCATGGCGGCCTCGCGGACCCTGCAGAGACAAGGAGGGGTTGAGGAGCCAGCCTACTGCCCCAGGTGCTACGTGACCACCAGTCACCGTTAGGGCTCAGGCGCCCTCGACCGAGGGCGAGAAACGTGCAGGAGGCTCGAAAAAGGCTGCTGGCCACATCACCAGGGCCGCAGGCCCTACACGCCCGGGCACCGCCCTCCCGCCAAGGAGCGAGCACCCCACCCAGGAGGCAGCACGCGCCATCACGCGGTCAGAACGGACCCTGAGCAGCCGCCCACACCAGGCGAGATGGAGACCATGGCTCTGCAGCAGCGCCCTCTGGAAGGACGAAGGGGAACCACGGCAGAGCCACACGGCACACAAAAGCAGGAAGAGGGGCCCCGTGTCCCGGGCAGACACGTGGACCCCAGCCGCAGTCAGAGCACCGTCGCCCACACTGCCCTGGGAATCAAGGGCCCAGCCTGGGTCAGAGCAGCGACATGGACGCCCCACCTCTGGCCTTGGTGGGACACTCATGAGGAGAGCCGCGGACGAGGACGGCACGACCACCTCACCATGCCCCCACATCCCCACGGCTGTCGGTGGTGTAATCCTTCAGACAGTCCAGCAGCGTGCAGTAAATCTGGGAGACGTTCTCTCTGCACACAGCTTCGTCCGGAGGCCCTTCTGCCCGCACTCCGACAGTCTGGCAAATCCTAAAATTAAAAACGTGTGAAGCCCAGCTAACGTCAGAGAATCCCAAGCAAGCTCTCCTGCCGTTCTCATCATTTTGGCTGGATGTGTCTTTCCTGACAAGATACCCTCAGAACAGACCCATAACCTCAGAAGCAGACTCGGTAATGCTCCCGCACTAACGTAATGCTGAACAACACTCTTCTCCAAGCCACACTTCTAGTGTCTACAGTTTAAGGGCACACAGGGCGCCGTCTGTGGCTGGTCCCTCCTACCCCGCCATCCACAGAAGGCACGCCACGGGGCTCGTCAGAGAAAGGGCAGCCCCTCCCGATGTGTGTGTGTGACACACGTCAGCATTCCCTACACGCAGGCAACCTGGGGGCCATGGTCGTGAGCAGAACACTTAGCCCCAGTCCCTGAGAGGCCCACTGTCCCCAAAACCCAGAGGTAAGTGCACTCTCGGTGTAAGTAGTCATTAGAATTATGACAAAACTGTAATGATCCTCTATGAGTTGACATGTTCTCAGATAGTCCTCTGAAAAGAAACTAGAAAAGAAAAATGTTTGTCTCAAAATAGATTCAGCCCCTGACACACAGGGCTTCTTACACAAACTGCTGTGAACATCCCTTCATGCTCGGTTGCTGGCTTTTGAGAGAACAGTGACTTTGGGGAGAAAAACCGTCAGGGCTCACCTAGAGATGGCCTTCAAGGCATCCCGCCTGGCCTCAGCAAAGCTCACATCCTTGGGAGAAATGTGGGTAACAGCCCTCAGGCCTGCTAGAACCTGAAAAGCAAAGACAGACCTGCTAGCCTGAAGATGCATGCACCGTGCATGCAAGTGGAGACCTGGCCTGGCACCCTGCACCCAGAACACAGCACAACATGGCCGGTGGCTTGTCCAGGTGGACCACATGCCCTGGAGAACACACAGAGCCCCGAGTGGGGTAGGGGTGCCTCCAGCCCTTCCCACGGCTGGCTCCTAACTACCCTCCTACCCACACCCCCATCACTGGCACTCAGGCAATCTCTGCCGGTCTGCCTCCTCCCTCCAGGGCAAGACCCCGCACCCAAGGCCAGCCATTCCCTCCCACTCCCTGCCTGGAGCTGGAGCCCTTGGCACACAAAAGTGCCCAGCTTCTCACATCTTCACCAGTTACTTCTGGAAGTGACAGTTCTGTTCTAAATGCAAGGTGTTCCAAATAGAAAAGCCCCTGGGCAGGGTTTGGATGGTCTGTTCCCCGTCCTGACACCTAAGTTGGTCTGGTGCCTTGGATCCCAAGGTGTTGGGGGCAGGGGAAGGCAACACAGGTGAGGGGCACGTGTGTGCAGGCACCTGGCCACAGCGACAGCTGGGAGGTGGGCCGCCAGGACCGTGACTGACTGACGTTTGAGTCGAGGGAAAGGGGAGCATAAGGGGCAGGGCTGGGTGGGCTGAAGCCGGCAGGGTCTCCTAAGTCAGGGTATGAGGGGAGCTGACGGGTCACCCCTGAAAGGAGACAGGCCGAGGACAGTGGAGCTCAAGGGCAAGCAGAACCCCGCCCCCCCCCCCCAGCCATGCCAGAGCACAGGACCCCGTGCTAGGGAGAAAGGGCACCTCCCCACGGAGGAGTTCTGGGGTGGGAGGCCCAGGCCCCTTCACGTGGCCACAGGGGGGGCAGCCTTCCCAGATGAGGCTGGAAACTTTGCTCCTAATGCAGAAAAGGTTGGATGGCACACTACAGGTAAGTAAAGGCCAGGTGTATTTCCATGGAGGCTGAGGCTCCCTCCTCAGCCAAGGAGTCAGCTCCCCCGAGTCTCCTCAGGCTAGAATGTTCACCAGGCTCTCAAAGACCACTCGCTGCCCTGGGTGTTCCCCTCCCCTTTCTTATGGATGCACACGCTGGCCTGCGGGAATCCCTTTGGCCTACATACCCCGCTCACATGTCTGGTCCCACACGACCCCCGCCCTGCTAGGCCAGCCTCACCTGCCCAAGTCGGCCCTTCAGGAAGAAGGCCGGCAGGGCGCCCAAGGCCAGGGCACAGCCACAGCGAGTCATCTCCTCAGGGCTCTGGAGTTCGGAGAGATACAGCTTCACCAGCTCCTCTGAAAAGAAGGGACCAGAGCATGACCACTGCTGTCCATTATCCACAAGACATACTCAAGTACAGGCCAGAAGACGAGCAAACAGTGCTGAAGGAAGGAGGGAGGGGCCACTTAGATGCCTACAGCAGACGTGCTTTCAAAGCAGCGTGAATCAAACAGATTGAAGAAGAGAGGTTTTCAGTAGGTGCTTGTAAGATTTTCATAGGCAATTTTAATACACAATTTCACTCCTGGGAAAATAAAGCCAACAGTTTTGCCAACAGTTTTACCAACAGTCAACACAGTCAAACTTCTGTTTTTTATTCACTAAGAACACAAATGCCTTCCTCAGAAGATGAGGATACTTCCTCAAAGACCAAGAGCAAATGTGGTCCCGAGCGGGAGCCCCAGGGCTAGGTGCTCAGGGGCAGCAGGGGTGCCGGGGCCGCTCCGCACAAGACGCCCACAGCCGGTCGGGCAGAAACGGGCAGTGCAGTCAGTCAGGCTGAGAGCACGCACAGGGCTAGGAAAGCAGACCTTCCCACACGGGAAAGGCCGGTCGCGGGAACTGGAGAGCAACTGAAACAGAGGTTTGACCAGGAGACGCAGGAAAAGGGGGCTTCCCTTGTGGCTCGGCTGGTAAACAATCCGCCCGCCATGTGGGAGACCAGGGTTCCATCCCTGGGTTGGGAAGATCCCCTGGAGAAGGGAAAGGCTGCCCACTCCAGTATTCTGGCCTGGAGAATTCCATGGACTGTATAGTCCATGGGGTCACAAAGAGTCGGACACGGATTGAGTGACTTTCACTTTCACAGGAAAGGGGGCCCTGAAGCGATTCAAGAATTCAAGGAAGTAAAGTGGAAAAACCAGATCTATTCTCTGAAAAGGCAACTCAGAAGATCAAGGAAGGCCAGACACCCTTACTCTTTACCTACCACAACCAAAGAGGTTCGTGTTATCACTGCTTACATTTCAACACAGCAAGACTTCTATAATGTGTAAGTGAAAACCTTAGATCCTCATATATTAGGATAGGAAAAAAAAAAACTGGAATTCCACTTGCTCGGACACTAAAATGACATCTTTGGTGGAACTTACAATAACACACTTCAGCTGAAACATGAAAATCCTCTTTCTAGATGTGGAACCTGCAGATACAGAGGACCAACTGTGCTATCTCTTTATGCAAAACTGCATATGGTACAAGGACACAGTATAACATCACTAATTTAGAAAGTCTATCAGAAGATCTAATGACAAAGTATTTTCTAACTTTTGAAAAAATTCACAAAAAGTAGATTTAGACTACTGCATCCATGATTCCAGATGTACAAGTTGGATTTTAAAAAGGCAGAGGAACCAGAGATCAAATTGCCAACATCCACTGGATCATAGAAAAAGCAAGGGAATTCCAGAAAAACATCTGTATCTGTTTCACTAACTATGCTAAAGCCTTTTACTATGTGGATCACAACAAACTGCAGAAAATTCTTAAAGAGAGAGGAAAACCAGATCACCTTACCTGCTTCCTGAGAAACCTGTATGCAGGTCAAGAAGCCACAGTTACAACTGGACATGGAATAGACTGGTACAAAGTTGGGAGAGGAGTATGTCAAGGTTACATACAGTCACCCTGCTTATTTAATTTATATGCAGAGTATATCATGTGAAATGCTGGGCTGAATGAATTACAAGCTGGAATCAAGACAGCAGGGAGAAATATAAACAACCTCAGATATGCAAATGGCAGAAAGTGAAGAGGAACTAAAGACCCTCTTGACGAAGGTGAAAGATGAGAGTGAAAAAGCTGGTTTAAAACTCAACATTCAAAAAACTAAGATCATGGCATCTGGGTCCATCACGTCATGGCAAACAGATGGGGAAAAAAATGGAAACAGTGACAGACTTTATTTTCTTGGACTCCAAAAATCACTTCGGAGAGTGACTACAGCCATGAAATTAAAAGACACTTGCTCCTTGGAAGAAAAGTGATGATAAACCTAGATGGTATATTAAAAAACAGAAATATCACTTTGCTAACAAAGGGCTGTATAGTCAAAGCTATCGTTTTTCCAGTAGTCATCTATGGATGTGAGAGTTGGACCATAAAGAAAGCTGAGCACCGAAGAACTGATGCTTTTGAACTGCGGTGCTGGAGAAGACTCGAGAGTCCCTAGGACAGCAAGGAAATCAAATCAGTTAATCCTAATTTAGGCAATCAACCCCGAATATTCACTGGAAGAACTGATGCTAAAGCTGAAGTTCCAATACTCTGGCCACCAATACTCTGATATGAAGAGTCAACTCATTGGAAAAGACTCTGATCCTGGGAAAGACTGAAGGCAGCAGGAGAATGGGGTGACAGAAAATGAGATGGTTGGATGGCATCACTAAATCAGTGGACATGAGTTTGAATAAACTCTGAGAGATAGTAAAGGACAGGGAAGCCTGGCATGCTGCCATCTATGGGGTGGCAAAGAGACAAGACTTAGTGGCTGAAAAATAACCCATGATTCTTCCATACTTAGAATAATTTTTAAAGTGTTTCATGTATTTTTGAAGTAACTATAATATTCTGTAATATGATACAAAGGAAAGCTACAGTGCCATATAACATGTAAATACAAAGCTTTTTAATATGAAACTAATACTCCTGAACTAGACACTACAAACAGGACCAAGTAACGTGTCAGATAAACTTCAGCTTAGAGGGTGGTTCTGGAAAACCCAACTGACACAAGGACATGCCACAAGACAGTTATACCGACACTGTTCATGGGGGGAGGAGACATTAACACATAAGCTATTAACACATGAAGGACATGTGCCAGAAAAGCATTGTTGTGAGTTACAAAAATTCTAAATGCACTTAACCATGAAATAGAAAAGTCAATGAAGTAATCACTGAATGAACAGACTCCAAGGAAAAAGCATAAAATCAGGAGGATGTGGGGAGGCAGCAGAAGCGGACAAGTCTGAGCTGACAGAGCCTGGGGAATGAGTGTGGACGACAGTCCTGATAATGAAGGCTGGACCCCGAGGAAGACCAGGGACAGGACAAAAGAGAGGTCCCCACAGAGGCATGGAGCCCCACTGCAGTACTGGGAACCTCCAAAGTCCAAATCAGGGGAAAGTGGACTTAAAAACATAATTTAAGAAAACACTACTGAAATAAGAGTTGATTCTACAGTAAAGTGGTAACATCTGGGAAAGTGGACCCCACGTGGCCTCAGAGAAATCGGGCTCCAGGTGAGAATGGGATGGGCTGAGGAGGGGGCGGCGTCCTCAGGGCCTGACACCCACTCTCTCTACCCTCCAGGCCCGTCCACACTGCAGCAGGAGAGGCAGGCACCCCACAACCACCCAGCCCCCAGCCCCACTGGATGCAGGGCTGAGTGCAGACACCCACTCACCTTGCGCGGCAGCCTCCACCTCCCCAGGCTCCCGGGCGTGGTACTCGCTGCAGAGGGCAGCCAGGGCCGACACAGCCGCCTCCTGAAACAGAGGAGACATGGGTGAGCTGCAGGCTCCTGGTCAGGGAGCAGCCAGGTGGCCCTGCGATCAGGCCAGTGACTTGGTTTGAGAGACCCAGAGACTGAATGACATCATCCTTTCTGGTATGTCTGCTGGTCACTGTCATCATCGTCAGTCAGATGTGGTCATAAGTTTAATATGCTCTGCAACTAATACACTGGATATAAAAGTTATTTCCTCCATATAGTACAAATTTCACGTCTTTCCATGGGAAAGGCAATGATGAAATGTGGCATTTTATTCTTTCCCAGCTGAAGTAATGATGGAAAAGTGTGTTAAACACCAGAAGCAGCGTGGCAAGGCCCCCCAGGTGAGCCACGAAGTATGGAGTGGAGTTGGGGTCCCAGGAGTGCTGGGAGCAGGAGTGGCTGGACAGAGGAAGGGCTGACCCAAGGCTGGGGCGCCTCAGGGGCAAAGCGCAGGAGGGGGTTCACACCACACAGACGCCCTTGGCCCCTCCTGTCGCCTCCACAGTGACTCACCTAAGCCTTTCTCCATCGTAAAGACTGCGCGGGGCAAATGCTGGATTCGTGTGCTCTTCCCAAATAGAAGTCGCTCGGTCACGTGTGACTCTTTGTGACCCGATGGGCCATACGAGCCCATGGAACTCTCCAGGTCAGAACACTGGAGTGGGTAGTTCCCTTCTCCAGGGGATCTTCCCAACCCAGGGACTGAACCAGGGTCTCCTGCATTACAGGCGGATTCTTTACCAACTGAGCTACCAGGGAAGCCCGACTCTTCCCAGCGCTCCTTCAGATCAGGGAGCTCCAACAGGGGTGCTGGGGGAGGGGTGTCCTCACACAGATCGAGGAGCAGGCCAAACCACGATCACAACTGGTGTGAATCAACTGTGGATGTGTTTTTAAAAGGAATTCTGACACTGATCATGAAGAACTCAACTTCAACTAGTAAACTGTACCTGGGTTCTACAGAACGATAAAGTTACTTATAAAAAAGGGATGAGGACTGAAGATATGTTCTATTCACCCAACAGAAAAGCTGAGACACAGGAGGCTGGAAAGCTATAAGAAAGACCAATATGTACTTCCACTCCTTTATCCTCCACATCAAAGCCTAGTTGTTATCAATACCAAGGCTATTATCTCTGCACAGGGGTAGGGGTTGCAATACTGCTAGTCCAAAGTTCACCTGTCCTGAGGCAGGACAGTAGTGGCCACTGGGACTGGGACACACACCACACACTCTTGCTCACTTGACATGATTAACACTGACATCCTGTCATGATTCTAGCAGTTCACTCATCTACACGTGAGCATCACAAAAGGAGCATCCAACCTCCCATTCTACAACCCAATAGGGAACATGTTTGGAAGGCAAATACAATTAATAAAACTAGAAACAATAATAAAAAATTTAAATATTCTGGTCAATGATGGCTTCATTAGTTGTCCTGATCATAAATTACATAAATAATATCATTCAGAATTCCAAATATAATTACTGGCCTTTATCAATCATGTTGGTCTACAAAAGGGACTCATAATGCACAGAGACCTTTGAAACACTTAAATATTTCTACACAGTGCAAAAGCCAGAGAGCCCTCGCTTCCCACACCTTTATACGTTGTCGAGAGTGACTTGAAATGAGGTGGAGATTTCTCAAGGTGTCGTTTATCAGCCACTGCCAACCATCTGTCAAAGAAACAAAGTCATTCAGCTAGTAAAGAATATTTGTATCAAATTAAAAACACCACCACACAGATCTTCTAACTCTCAAGTCAAAGTAGACCGTGACCTTTGAGAGGAACCTGCAGGAAATCTGAGGTACACGTTCTCCAGGTCGAATGAAATTCTAAAGGCCTTTGCCCTCTCCACCTATAGGGGAAAGTCTTCTTTCTGCTGTTGAAATGTGAGAACTGTCATGATGGGCCAGTTTTTGTTCTTCCATTACACCTGTAAGCTTCAAGTGGTCTTTGACTGTACTTCTTCCCTGAACAATCCCCCCACAAACACAAAATTCAACCAGATCTAATACTTGAAAACAAACACTAAATCATTGTTTTCTTTTTCCTCAAGTTACAGAGCTTCTGAGGCTGCAGAGCAAACAGCCAGCACAGCCCAGTGGAGGCAGTGACCCCAAGGCTTCTCCTCCTGCCTCTCTGGGACCGGCGGCCACAGGTCAGAACCTGAAGGGGCTCCAGACCAGTGCCGGGGCCTGACTGCCACCCCGGGAAGAGCCAGGGCAGCTGCCAGCCCTCCGCTCGTCCTGCGAGAGCCTGCCCCTCGGGCTGGCACCGTCCAAATGGGAGAGGAACGGCCGAGTGCGCCTGGTGCTGGGCACGGCTGTGACAGGCAGAGCCCCAGTCGGGAGCCCTGAGGAAGGAGCTCAAGCCCTTGGAAGAGAAGGGAGAATCTGCTTCTGTGGGGGGACTGTGGGGGATGCTCCCTGGTTACAGTGGGCTCTTAACAGCAACTTCGAAACAGATTCTAACAGGATGGAATTTACCATCCACCTTAACAGGTTGGTCTTCGCTTTTGAAGCTGAAGTAGTTCTGGAAGAAAATGCCACGATGTGAGTCACTGGAGGAGAGATGCACTTACCGATCACGGCGTCACCTCTGAAGGGCATTCTGGAAAGGGCCGAGTTTTCTATTAAAATGCACACTGGGAAGAAAAAGGATGAACGCAATGTCATTTCCCCAAAAATGCCCATCTCAGCACCCACCCTGATGCACCTGAGCCCAGCGCTGCCAACACCAGCCTTTCTGCCCCTGCCCCCTCAGTGCTCGTGTCCGGAGGCAAGCCCCCAGCATGTCCTCTGCACCAGACCTGGCCCAGGCTCGGGGGCAGTGCCAGGACCCAAGGGCAGCAGCATTAAGCCGGTGCCCTCGGGGAACCCTGCCGAGACAAGGGAGCAACACGTGGAGGCTGCAGGTTTGACCCCCATATGAATCCCCAGGGACAGACAACTCAGCTGTCAAACTAGTGACACCCACAAGTGACCAGGAGCTGTGGCTGAGCAGCAGGCACCCGCCCAATGAGGACCACGGAGAAGCAAGTTCCCCTGGGGAAGGGGGGCCTCCCCACCTCAGGTCAGCACCAGGGTCAGAGGAGGTAACACTTATCACCCCCATGGGACAGTCCCCCAGATGAGCCACAGTGCTCAAAGCTCCGGTAAATTCCCGACCTCGGTAAATAGTGTAGTGTCCATTTTAATAAACTACCACTTCTGTGCGTGGAAGCATAAGCCAGTATAGCTGCTCACTGGCCACCCCCACAAGGACACCGGAGCTTCCGTGTGGTGGCCTCACATGACTGTCCTGGCACCAAGGAGGCTCTGCCATGGGGACCACTGCAGGGACCTGACCTGCCCGGCGCCTGCCCACAGGCCACGTGCCTCAGCCCATCCCGCACGACTCCTCATGCTGCCCATTCACACAGCAAGAGGGTGGCCTCTGCACCCCCACCTCTGTCCCTACAATGGAACAGCCTAAGGGTTTCCTCCTACTGAGTGAGGAGTTTGCATTTGCTGGAAAAAAATCTAGCACTACAGAAAAATAAGATAGAACACCACCACTGACATTTTGGCAGCCATGTAAGTTGGGCTGACCTTCACGGCTGAGGGCACAGGCACCCCTCCCGCCAGCTCTGTGCCCTGACCCCGTCTCTGCCACCTTGCTCCCGCCCTGACCCCAAAACTAAGCTGAGCTGGGGCATGGCAACCACACCTCCCCGCACGCTCAGAGGGTCACAGACCACAGGCACCCCTTATGGCCAGGCTAGGCTGGGCTGGCAGCAACAAACCCCAACTTCAGTGTCCACAGCAACAAAGGCTCCCTGTGCACGCTGTACATCCGCCATGCCTCAGCAGGGGTGCCAGTCACTGCCCCCCAGGGACCAGTGACAGGCGGCAGCTGTCCCTCTGAAATGCGGCCAGGCCAGCGAGGAAGCCAGCTCCGCAGTCTCTGTGAGTGCAGAAGGCTCCCGACGGTGACACCATCCCGCCTCCTCACACTCCTGACTCCCACCATCCTCAGCACAAACATGGCTGGCCAGCACGAGGAGGCCTGGGGGCCGGAGGAGGGACGTCCCAGCAGAGTCAGGGTGCACACAGGCCCCCCACGGCTCCAGCCGCCAAACTGCTTTTCTTCTCGAACAACATAACTGACCGTGGGAGAGCCCATGCTCTTTAGCAGATGGGCAACATCCCACAGTATGGTTATGAAACTGTTAATCCAATATTTCCTGCCGGGCTCAGCTCTCCTTCCAGCTCTGTCATGTCAGACAAGGTGGCCACACACATCCTGTCAGCACACAGACTGCCCGTCTGTCCAGCAGGATGCCTGTCACTCCTACACGTTTTTGGGGTGCAAAGTCCTAGGAGTGGCCCCGCAGGGCAGAAGACCGCACATTTTTAATCTTAAGAGACACTGCCCTTGGCAACCTGAAAATGCTGTAACAACACACACGCCAGAGCAGGCGCTCCAACGGCAGAGGGCCACCCAGCTCTGACGTAGCCAATACGATCGAGGAGACGCGTCCTCCTTGTGGAGCTAACCAGCATCTCCCCAGCAACCAGGCGAGGCTGAAAACTTCCTGGGTAGGAAGTTTTTTAGGGACCAACATGATCCTCTGATTTCTCCTAAAATTTCTTTGAAGTTTTAAAAAATGTATCTTTTATACTTAAGTTTAATCAGAAATTAATCAGTTAAGTATCTGTTAATTAGAAATTTAGTTCTGTGTATGTGTGCAGTGGGGACACAATTTTGTTTTCTTCCATGTGGCTCCTTGGGACATCATCAACCACTCTATCAACTGCCCTCTTCAGCGAGGCTGGAAACACATACCTGCTTTGTCACACGTGAAATCCCACATACGTTTGAAACTTCTGATTCTCTTTTCTGTTTTACCAATCTATTCAGTTGCTCCTAACAAATGCCCTTCTGCTTTGAACAGAGCAGTTCTAAGGACTGGAGGAACTGACACTCCTCCAACCCCCGCCACTAGCCCTCCCCTCCCCTCTCCTGTAGCCCAGCGCAGCATGGAGCCAGGACTGATCCGCTGCCTGATAAACACTGAGTCCTGGGTTTTCTGGTAGGTTTAGCTGGAAAAGCTTCAGGAAATCCAAATATTTACGTGTTGGCAACTTTTGAGTTCCCTGCAAACATTTAAACATAACCTTTAAAAACTGTTTCTTGCTCTACATTTACATTTAAAGATCATATTGAAGAGAGAAAGATGGCAACGTTCACATTCCTAACTTTATCACCCCTTCATGGTAGACACATCTTACCTCTACTCATCCATCCCACCTCAGCCGCTGCCAGCCCCGTGGCTACTAAAACGTATCAAAACCCACAGAAGCTGAAAACCAAGAGCCTGGAGTGAACACACACAGGAGAAGCAGTGGGCTGAGTGGGCAGCCCTGGAGTTACGACATGCAGGCCAGGGGCACTGCCATGGTAATTCTGACCAGAAAACGGCCCAGCCGTTTGTCACTGCCAAAGTACCCATCAGGGAACTTTACAGGGTTGAAAACAATAAATACCCTTGGGACTTTCGTCTTCCCTCAGTGGTGGGAAGAAAGGACCCTGACCCATAACCTGCAGCCTCTGTCGCTCAGACCTACCTGCCTGTCTCATGAGCTCTCCTCCCAGACCCCTGAAAATTAAAGAAAACATTCAAAGTTAAAACTCTCGTTATACAAAACAACGTAAATATCTTCACTAAGTAACAGGTGTAACTTTAGGTTCCAAAAAGTATCACAACATTGAATAGTTGCATTAGTTGTTGGCCATGTGAACTACTTTTTATGAAAAGAAATGAAAATATGTTCTGTGATCACTTATGAGATGATTTTCAGTTTTCATTGGAGACTAATCCCTGGTGTGAATTATATCACAGAATCACATGTAACAAATTCCAAACACTGTTCAACTCTTACTTTGTAAGAACTATAGAAACTTAAAGCACCAGGAAGATATTATCACCTGGCAGGACCAGGGAGAGGTGCTGCCCGCCTGGACCCCGACTGACTGACGTGGGATGCCGACAATGGGGAACTGGGGGACGTGAGTTCGAGAAACACTATGGGAGAAGGCAGGAAAGCTGTGAGACAGTGGCTTCTGGCCCAGGCAGAGGAGCAGGATTCGAGTTTGACCTCCTGCCTCAAACAAGTGGAAAATTGGACAAAAACCCAGAGGTCATGGGAGGAGGGAAGGAGCAGCCAGGCCCAAGGCTCAGCAGGGAAGCCCCCACAGATAGAAGGTGGGGAGGCCAAGGCGGCCGGAATCTGAGGGGCAGCGGAGCAGCACACGCCCAGAGCTGACCCTGAGCTGCACGTTCAAGAAAAGGGACCACCTGAGCCTGGAGGAGGAGCAGCACTCCTAAGAAGAAGGCAGGGCACTTGTGGGGTCCACACAGGCAGGGAGGAGCCCCCTCAGCCAGAGCACTGGCCTCCTCAGGCACGCGGCACCCGGAAGGTGTCGCAAGGACCGCCTGAGGGGCCAGCCCACTTGTTTCGGCCCTACCAAGCCTCCAGAGCTGGCTGTGAAAGGAACCAACTGAGCCCACCAACCGAACACCACCAGCCACTGCAGCTGGCGCCCAGCGACCAAAATACCATGAAGCCCAGCACCCCACCGAGAATTCAGAACACCCCCCCGACTCCAAGAAAACAACCCGCAAAGACCCAGCAGCCCCCCAAGAGGACGGGATACACACACAGGGTCAGCAGAACAGCTCTCAGCTCATGCACGTGTCCCAGGAGGGGAGGAGAGAGACTGGGTCACAGCAACACACAAACAGGACCAAATGCAATCAATGATGATGGGAACAGAAACCAAAGTAATAAAAGCAAAGAGGTTTAAAGAGACCTTGCTCAAAGACAAGCGAACCACGTAAAAATGACAGAGGGGTCCATTTAAACAGCCTCCGGTGGGCCAAGTACAGAGCAGTTTAAGTCACAGAAGGAATAACAAGGGTGTTACTGAATTACAACATGGTGTGTGTGTGGGGGCGGGAGGGGGGGGGTGCGGTGCACAAGTCTGTAGTGATACATCAAAAAGACAAACAGCAGGGTGGGAGTAGGGAGGGACACTGTTCTTTCCAGACAAGTCCCAGAAAATGCACAAGGAAAGAATGAGGGAATCAGCCAGGCACCCACTGGCAGGCCGCAGAGTAATGGCTGACTCAGGCAAGGCAGGCGCTGGTCGTGGGTCTTGAAACCACCCCTCAGGCCAGTTGCTAGCTGCAAGGGGGTGCATCCCTCTCACCGGCACGTCTGACCTTCTGGAGGTCGTCCCTAAACCCAGGGGTCAACTCAGTGTCTCCACCAGGGGGCAAACACACCGACTTCACAGGCAACACAAGGGTCCACACCAGCCACGCCATGAGCAAGCCAGATCCAGTCCTGCAGGGAACAACCCAGAAACCCGGAACGTGTAATGTTACACAACACACCTGGCCTGAAAAGAGGCTGTATCGTGAAAAACAAAAAGGGAGCTAACTGAATAACACCGAACACAGCACAAAAACTTGAGCAAGTCCTAGTTCAAGGGGGAAAGAAGGCTACGGAGAGCATCTGAAGACAACCTGGAGGAACACCG